AAATTGGGATACTGTGCAAAATGTAAATAAAAACAGAATGCAATGATGTGCAAATCTTTTTTTGACCTCTATTCAACTGCATACAGTCCAGAGACAAGATATTTAATGTTCAAACTCATAAACACAAACACTTATTTATTTTTATTAATATACATTTATTCTGATTTTGATGCCTGCAACATGTTCCAAAACAACTGGGACAAATGCATGTTTACCACTGTGTTACATCACCTTTTCTTAATAACACTCAATAAGTGTATAGGACCTCAGGACACAAACTGATTGATTTTTTTTCATGCTTTTTTATTGGTTTTTAAACAATATATAAACTGCTATACATCATACATATGCACAAGTACACATAAATACAGATAACTAGATATGCACAAAACCTTCAAAAGAACAGGCAGTTGCAGAAGATGAAGGCCTAATCAGGGTCCATCCTATTGTGATTGACTACAAGATGTAAAAAAAAAAAGAAAAAAAAAAAACATTAATAGAATAAAATAAATTAAATATGAGTTACTTCACGTGGAGTTATCAAGAAAACAGGGCTGTAGAGTATGGCTTTTATATATTCCAAGAAAGGATTCCAAACCCCACATACCATCGCAGATGCTGACATTTGAACCTTGAGCTGCTAACAGTCTGGATGGTCCTGGACGATCCTCTCGTGTCACAACTTCATAACATCCATGATTTCCGAAAACAATTTTAAATGTGTACTCATCAGACCATAGCACACTTTTCCACTTTGTGTCAGTCAATTTCAGATGAGGTTGGGCTCAGAGAAGTCTGCAGTGTTTCTGGATGTTGTTGATATCTGACTTTCACTTTGCAGGGTAGAGTCTTAACTTGTATATGAAGAAACAAACTACTACTGTAATGACAATGGTTTTCCAAAGTGTTCCTGAGTCATATCATACTATTCTTTATACAATCAAGTCAGTCTTTAATACAGTGTCCTCAGAGGGGTCAAAGGTCACAGCCATTCAGTGTTGGTTTTCAGCCTTGTCTGTTTACATTCAGAGAATTCTCTGAATCTGTTGCTGATATTATAGATTGTTGATGGTGAAATCCCTAAAATCTTTGCAATCATGCGTTGAGAATGTTGAAACTGTTAGACTGTTTGCCCCCACAGTTTTTCAAAAAGTGACCATCCTTGCTTGTGAACACCTGAGCCTTTTTCAGATGCCCTTTCATACCTATTAATGATACTATAATTTGTTACCAATTAACCTGTTTACCTGTGGAATGTTCCAACAGGTGTTTTTTGAGCATTCAACAACTTTCCTAGTCTTTTGTTGCCCCTGTCCCAACTTTTTTGGAACATGTTGCAGGCATTAAATTCAGTATAAGTGTATATTTTACAAAAAAACAATAAAGTTTATCAGTTTGAACAATATCTTGTCTTTGGACGACATTCATTTGAATATAGGCCTAGGTCAAAAATGATTTACAAATCATTGCATTCTGCTTTTATTTACGTTTTACACAATGTCCCAACTTTTTTTTGGAGTTGGGGTTGTATATATATACAGTATATATATCCCCTGAAGGTTGTTGTGCCTTGTCATTACAGACTACATTACAGAATGGCACCATACTTTGTGTTATCATGCTCAGTGTGTTTCAGTTCATATAGGCTACATACAACATGTAAAACATCCCCGCTGCTTTTAGGCAACCTTTGGATGCAAAGCAGAACAGGATATAAGGATCTGCCTCCGGGGTGTTTTGGTCTCCTCCTGCTGATTCACATGTCTGGGTGATGCCATTGTATTGGATGTGTTTCCATTCACATCCTCTACAATGCATGTCTTACACAGAATTCTCTCTTTGGTGCTGCTGTAACTGACCAGCGCACTGAGAACTGACAGGTGGGTCTTCCAGCTCCGGTGTAGTAATTTGTGCCCATCATAGTTACTTACTCGCATGCCATTGTGTTTGTTGTGCTAACCTGAACTTTTGTCCGTTGTGTCTCATATCATCTATCATTTATTTGTTTATAATATTTGTTTATACTAAGGGTGTTACGATCCAACATTCTCGACTAGTGTATTGATTCAATGATCAACGATCCAATATCATCTATGCAAAATGACGACATATATCTATATCATTATCTTTAGGTTACACTTTTAATTTGAAATTCTGTGTCACCATCAAACAGCGCCAGGAAGATAATGTCAAGCAGACAACAGAAAGATGATGAAAATAACATTATGTCCTCTGGAATAAATAAGCAGTATGGAAATATTTGGAATTTTAGAGAAAATATGGGTCAATAGACAACACACTTGCTGTAAGTAAACAATAACATTATGAGATAAAAATACTCAGGAAATATGACCTGGCCTAATACCTGGCCTGAATGGCATCAAATCGAAATT